GTTACGTACGTACTACCTACGGTAGGTAAGGTAAAGGTAACGTAACGTAGTAGTCTACTTACTACTACTCTGTGGTCGTGGTGGCGTGTAGTGGTACTATATATATATATATATATATATATATATATATATATATATACACACACACTTATGAATGGATCCCAACCTGTAACCATAGAGTGATGCATTTTGAGCACCAGAATATGATGAAGAAGTAAGCAACACTGAAGAGGACAATTCTTCTCCTCAAACTGAAAAATTCCAAAAGACAACATCCCAGGCCTGGAATGATGGAATCATGTATGCTTTACTCAACCAGAGGAAACAGAACTCATCTGGTCTGGAATTATGAACACTCCTCTGTGTGTGCAAGGTAAATTCCACTTGCCCCTGGAATTATGGGGAGGATGTGGAATGACTGTGCTAAACCAAGGGCCTAGGATAGGACCACTCTGCATTCAGAATTATAAGAAGACAGTGAAACCTCTTCCATGAACAATGTACTGAACCAATATTGATCAAAAAGACGGGCTTCGTTAAACCCAGCCGAATAGCCTAGCATCAAATCTGAACTGGTATTACGAGTAGACTCCCTTGTAGGCTAGTGCCACTCCTACCCACATCTGAGAAAAAAAATCCAGAGACATGGATAGGAGGACTCCCAACTTCATCCTCATCTCCATGAGTGGAGGAATTCACTCTAACACTCTGGAGGAAAAGCCTCTGTCCACCACCTAAGTTACTTGAAACCAGGTGTGGTAAGGACTCCCTAGTTCCACTAACAGAATCTGTAGGGTAATGCTCATTGGGGAGTCCTGAGAAACAGTGCTCTGGAAACAGTGCAATAAGCGAACCAAGTTCCCTAAATCTTTAAAAGCAAATCGAACCTGATTTATTCAATCCAATGATTGGCAGGCATGGGCAGGATCATCTTATGCTTTACTCATGATAGTCCATGAGTGGTGGTCCAGCATAGTAGAGTAATACCACCAAGTTAGCATCTAGGTGGTCGTATAAACACCTCGTTTCTACAGAGCCTGTTGCAACCTGTATACAGTATATTGAATTAGTGGTTGCTAGTGCAGAATTGGTTTGATAAAAGCACACCTACTTGGGTAACACTAGTCACAGAGTAAGATCCTGTGAAAACAAGGTAAAGAACCCTGAAAGGTAGCAATGAAAATACTAACTCCTCTATATAATCTAGCAGAAATGGTTAAGATAGCTAAAGGGCATAGGTAAAAACCCATAGATGAAGATACTGCTAGATCATGCAAATAATGTGAGATAAAAGTATTGGGGGAGGTCCACATACCAGTCTGCCCAATATCCTCCAGCAGGCAATTCAACAGGGCTGCTAAGGGCGTAGAAATGTGACAAATCTGATTAGACGTGACTCACAAAAAATTCCTCACCTTCAAAGAGAGTCCAGAATAAAAAGTCATAATCTAGCATCTCTAAAGACAGCAGTGCAGACAACAAAACCTCCAAAACCCTCACTGAATATGACCACAATCAAAATCTGAACAGACATAGAAGTGAGAAATAATGATCAGATGAATCAGTGAAAAGGATTTAGCCCCTTTCCTGTCTGAAGAACCAGTCTGTGGATAAACAGTGCAAATCACTCCGACCGGCGATGTCTTTATATCAGCAGCCACAAAAAATAAACCTTCAAGTGAAGGAGATACATGGCATATAAGAAACAGGTCAAAACAGATGTTGAGAAAAAGCATGTAATGTAACCTTAGTTGTTAGATAACTGGAATAATAGTTTGGGACCAATGTCCCAAAGTGACTCGAGGAATCCAGAAAGTACTGAGGATTCAAGGAATATTTAGTTCCAAAAATTGAACGGTAGTCAATAAGGTCACCTTAAACAGAGCAATTGTGGAAGATGCAAAAACCCCTGCCAAAGAGCCAGGTAAAAAAACAAGATATGGTTGGCACTTCTGATCGAAGTGGGTTCAACCTCTTCTCAATACACCATTGCTGATATGCGTGTCATTTCTGTTGATAAACGTTCATTTCCAGACAAAGCAAAAACTGAAACAGATACATGGCAACCTTAGAAATTAAACCCTGATGCCATCTAAAAGACTGCATAACCTCTTATGTCTCAAGCTTGAGCTACTGGATAGCCGGATGTACCATGCCAAATCATGGCTGCTTCCACAGAGCCTAAGAAGAAGTGGATGAGGTAAATACTCTGGAAGATACCACAGAAGCAGAAACCAGAGTGTAGCTGCCAATCTGGTGCTATCCACAGAACCCGACAATGGGCTGGAACGAATAATAGTTAGTACCATGGGTAACATATGAATAGGAGGGAAGGCCTAGAGTTGTAATCTCGTCTTGTACTGATGAAATGCATCCATTGCCAAAGTCCGAAGGTGATGTACTGGAGACCAAATTGCCAGTAGTTGGGTGATCCAATGAGAGGCCAACCCACCAATCAGAGCTGCAAAATGAGAGCCAATTCAAAAGAACCTTGTGATGCAGCATCTGTCTGGAGAATCTGTTTGGATTGAGAAAATTGACCTGCTGTTGCAGATATCACCGATGGAACATGGCAAGCTAGTAGGGTGATATGACAGGAATGGTTCCAAGAAAAGAGGTTGAAGATTCAAAAACAAAGATCCCTAAACCAAGTGCCTCATCAATGAAAAACACAAGACACCACCATGGAATTGTCAGAGTATAAAGCCTGACAATTATCCCCTTAATAAGTTCAGACCATGAGGCATTGCCTTTCAAAGAGCAAGAAGGACTAAAACATTGTGTATGGAAGCTTCTTTGTCCATGCATAGAGCCTGGAATTCTTGACTGTTGGTATGTGCACCCCATCCCTGAAGCAAGGCAACTGTGAAGAGATGGAACTTACCATATCTTAGTAGTGTCCTGACTTAACAACCCCTCGAGATCAAAGAATTATTCCAAATAAGGAAACTGGGGAATTCAGTAAATTGATATTTATGATCGCATAAGACCATTAAAAGTATCTCTTGTGCTCTCATCCCAAAGGCATGAGGGATTTGAGTGATGCCCATATTCCTAGAAGAGAAAGAACCATCCATAGTGAGAGAAGGAGAGATAAGAGTCAGGCTTTCTATTCCTTAGGGTCGAGCTGAGCCTGACGAGATGAAAAATAAAATACACCCAGACTGATGACATATTGAATTGGAGAAAGAATAGATGTCTCAGCCCTAAAAATGAAGCCTGCCTTGGTTGTTTCTGAAAGTAGAATCAGTATATGATGTTCTAACAATTGACGAGATGTTGCCAGCAGTAACCAGTCATTTATGGAATGGTGTGTGCACAGTGC